ACACACACACACACACACCCGCGCCCACACACACACACACACACACACACACACACACACACACACACACACACACACAGAGGAAAGAAAGTTTGGCTTCTACATTTCCTGCTTTGTAAGCTCAAATATAAGGGACGCTGGACCCGCTTTCCAGCAGATGACGCTCCCCACCAATAGATGGAGCCTCTCCCCAGGTGCTAGCGGTGTCTGCTCCTATCAGCACCGCTAGCACTGGCGGGGGTGTTTGTCAAAAAAAAAAAAAGAAAAAAAAAAAAGAGTATATTCCCATGTCAAAGCATAAGGAAGCTTTCATGGGGTTGACAAACCTTGGCACCCCTCCCTGCAATTTTTACGAAGAAAGACTCTGAAAGAGCCCAGGATGAAAACAATAGAGGGAGAGAAAGGGAAGCACCTTAAGGTTATCACTGAAGAAAAGAGTGTAACCTTACCTGCAGCTGCCTGCAAGATGCGGATGACTCCGTCACAGCCCAGACCACACCCTGCCATTTCAAGCTGTTTCAGCCGGCTTCCCGCTCGCACAACTGCCATCGCTAGAATGTCCGCACCCTGCAACGTAGAATATAACATACTAAGTAGATTAGAGAAACAGCTTGTGGACTTCCATTGATTCAGTTGGTACTGGTGGTGCCACCTATTTCATTAGCTCTTTTTGAAATTGTGACTCTGAAAAAGAGTCTGAATTTAACAGGCTGGGTCAGCAAGTTGCCTGTGAGGCTATTCTCACTCGGGATGCAATAAAACCATCTTTCCTCTGCACCGCGGGTGCCGTAATTTCAAATTTGACCTTTCGCGCATGGCTTGATGATGCAAAACCTTTGCACGCGTTGATGAGCAACCCATCAGTCCAGCCGAGGAGTGCCACCAGAAGGATTCCGAATGCAGTTCCTCCATTCAATGCGTGACAAGCCGACTATACGCCTCCAGAGTCAGCCCCGTCTTGCAGATTTGCAGATCTCCCTCCGTTTGCTTTTTCTGATGGTTGGACCATACCATACTCAGTGTACTCAATACACTCACTCTGCATGCCTACATCTCAGCCATACACTGTGTACTTAGCGTACAAAACTCAGTGTACCCAGTACACTAAGAGTGTATGCCTCTTCGTGTACTCAGTGCACGGAGTACGTGAGTGTACTTACTCAGTACACTCACTCTACATGCCTACATCTCAGCCATATACTGTGTATAAACTCAGAGTACCCAGTACACTAAGTGTGTATGCCACTTCGTGTACTCAGTGCACAGAGTACGTGAGTGTACTTACTCAGTACACCTCAGTACACTCACTCTGCATGCCTACATCTCAGCCATACACTGTGTACTTAGCATACTAAACTCAGTGTATTCAGTACACTCAGTGTGTATGCCTAAGTGTATTCAATGTACTGAGTACGCAGTCTGCATGCCTCTCAGTGTACTCAGTTTACTCAACACACTCACTCTGCCTGCCTCTCAGTGTACTCAGCATACTCAGAACACTCAGTATGCATGCTTCTCAGTGTACTCAGTATACTTTAACCGCCAGTACACGGCCCCAGCCTTGCAGAAAGATTTTGTCGCCACAAGCAAAACTCGGAGGGGCTGCGCGGCATGGGGCGCCGTTGAAAAAAACAAAGTCTGCAAGTGGTGCGGATTCCACACTGACACCTGTGGGCCTATGTATGGCGCACTAGTGCTTGAATACACACAGCATGCATACCTCTCAGTGTACTCACTACACTCAGTCTGCATGCTTCTCAGTGTACTTAGTAATGGTTAGTATACTAAATACACTCAGCGTGCATGCCTCTCAGTGTACTCAGCACACAGTCTGCATGTCTATGAAACGGTTTTCACCTCTTTGCAGTAGCAGATGCAGATCCCAGGGCTCGATCCCTAGACCTTGCCCTACCTGTGTACAGTACCTGAGTAGACCCCGAGAGTTGAACCTGTGACCTGTGTATTCATAAACAGTTGGTAGGCTGTCATAGGTCCGTAGGTAGGAGGGGTTCGATCTGTAGATCTGTAGAATAGAAGTCTTAGCGAGTTTCAGAAGTCTTAGCTGTAGCCCTTCTAGAAGGTCAGCAAGTGGGCAAGTGGGCAAGTGGTGAGTCAAGTGGTGGACTAACTGCAGTGCAATTGCAGTACGACCTCGATAGGATAGCAGTGAGTCCCCATTCAGTCAGTGGTAAGGTCCAGTCAGTCCCAGTCCGGTCCAGCAAGTACCGCAAGGGACTGTGAGCACCATGGGCCGATGGAAGAGGGCAGACCAACGAGTTGCAGAAGTATAAATCAAGAGGCAGCGCCCAGCCTTTCATTCATTCCTGCGTGAGCCATGCGGAAGCGCTGCCACAGCGACTTGTGCAAGAAGGTCTGCAGTGAGCCCAGAGCTGAAGTGGGCGAGAGAGAAGGAGCGTAGCATAGCGATAGGGTAGTTGCAGCCATAGCCGCCATAGCTAGAGTTAGTGTGTAGCGAGTGTGTGTGTGTGTGTGTGAGTTCAGAGAGTCGCGTGTGGGATATCCAGGGTGATCCGGTGTATGTGAACAGTGAGTTGTTGGGGCGCTGAGTCGCCATAGCCAATTGAAAGTGAACTCGTTTCTGGATGCCATATCTCTGAGTTTTGAGTGGGCGCATGTCGCCAGTTTGCTGCGCTACTGTTTACATGCATGAAAAGTGTGAATGAAAGCAAGTCTGATTGCATTGTTATGGGAGCTGGTACCCGCTATTCCACGCGTCGAGTTGTGTGTCGCAGGAGTGATGCGCCATAGCAGAGGTGGCCGCCGAGAGTCATAGTCCGCCATAGCGGACCTGAAGGTTGGAGAAGCCGCCACGCACCTGCAGAGAAGACCACGACGAAGAAGAAGAGAGAGAGAGAGAGAGAGAGAGAGAGAGAGAGAGAGAAGTTGAGTGATACAAGATTGGGTTACTATGTACCTGCTGCGCTGGAGATACCTCTACGGAGAGAGAGAGAGAGAGAGAGAGAGAGAGAGAGAGAGAGAGAGAGAGAGAGAGAGAGAGAGAGAG